TCATTTACCCTCTTACATTGTAAGTCACAGTTTTTCATATGCCACAGTCATGCTCATCTGGGCCTATGGATATCGACCTCAACTGCCCATAAATACCCATCACCCCTTACACAGCAAGCAATTCCAGTAGAAGAGAATATATGTAGCTCAGAGTTGGAGTCCTTGGTGCTTTCTGAACTTGGTTGTTTGCTTGCAGACATTTCATTACCCAACTAGGTAACATCATCAGTGTGGGGTTTGCTCCCTATTTATATACAGTAGCTTGCCCTGCCAGTGGAGGTATGGTTTTCTCCTTGGTAGTACCTTGATTAGGGTATTGTGTCCTGCTTGATTATTTGTCTGGTGTAAATCCCTAATTTGGGTGTTGGCTGCTCAAGAGGATGTGTTCTGGTCTTTTTGTTTCCTTCTTAGCTTTTTTTGGTCTCTGTTAAATTGTGCGCAACTGTAGTTTATCTCTAGGTGTCTATTGATGGCTGATTTCACAGGTCACAGATGCTGGCGAAACATTAGGAACCAAAACTTCCAGAACACGGCCACACAGCCCGGAAGACCCACATCAGCCATCGTATTCCAGCCGTGAAAGCCTTCGACAATATGATGGCTGATTTGTCGGAATGCCAAGCTTCCAGGAATTTCTTAGTGTTTTTGGATTTAGCTTGGTCTAGGAAGCTCACAGTTTCCCAGTTGAAACTATGGTTGAGTCTGTCCATGTGTTATGAGATTAAGGAGTTTTCATAGTGTCTTCTGACTGCTTGTTTGTGTTCATGGATGTGCTCTGCTAATCTTCTGCCTGTCTGTCCTACATAATGGCTGTTATAGTCCTTACGCTGTATGTTGTAGATGACTCCTATTTTTTCTTCTTGGGCTACTGGTCTTTTGGTTTACTAAAGATGTTTTGGAGGATTTTAGTTGGCTCGTGCACTACAGTGATGCCGTGTGGTTATAATAGTCTGTTGGTTGTTTCTGAGATGTTTTTGATGTATGGTGGTGTTATTCATTTATGTTTATTCATTTATTTATTTATCACATTTATATAGCCACCCATCTCACACAAAGTGACTCTTTATCCTTCTCATAACTTGTGTTGATTTTGCTGTAGTAGGTTGAGTGGTCAGGCACTTTTTGATAAAGTTGCATGGGTATCCACATTTTGTTGGAAGATGTTGTATAGGTATGTTGTCTGTTTCCTCTTTCTCATGTTCTGGGTTGTTGCAGTGTGTTTGTACTCATCTGAATAATGTTTTTACACAGCTCCTCTTGTGGGAGGTTGATCTGTTACTTTGGTAATGGAGCACTTGGTTAGTGTGGGTTGTTTTTCGATAGACCTGTGTTTCTAATGTGCTGCTGTTTCCTCTGCTGATGAGAATATCCAGGAAAGGTTGTATTTTGTTGTTGTTTTCTTCCCTTGTGAATTTTATTCCTTTGAAGATGTTGATAGTTTCATGTTTCTTCTCTAGTTGTTCCTTTTTTATTATGACAAAGGTGTCATCTATGTACTAGATCCATGCTTTTGGTTGTACAGTTGTGTGAAAAAGAAAGTACACCCTCTTTGAGTTCTATGGTTTTACGTATCAGGACATATTAAAAATCATCTGGTCCTTAGCAGTTCTCAGAAGTAGGTAAATACAACCTCAGATGAACAACAACACATGACATATTACACCATGTCATTTATTTTACAAAAAGAAAGCCAAAATGGAGAAGCCATGATGTCATTTATTTTACAAAAAGAAAGCCAAAATGGAGAAGCCATGATGTCATTTATTTTACAAAAAGAAAGCCAAAATGGAGAAGCCATGTGTGAAAAACTAAGGATACCCTTACTGCTTCCATAGGTATGAAGAGGCTAAGTAGCAGCCAGGTCCTGCTAATCAAATGCCCTTGATCAACTGATCATCAGCAAGTGTGACTTCGTCTATAAAAGCCAAAGTTTTAGGAGTTTGCTGGTCCTGAGCATTGAGATGTGTGTTAACACAATGCCAAAGACTACCGACATCAGCAATGATCTTAGAGAAGCAATTGTTGCTGCTCATCAATCTGGGAAGGGTTATAAGGCCATTTCCATACAATTTAAAGTTCATCATTCTACAGTGAGGAAGATGATTCACAAGTGGAAAACATTCGAGACAGTTGCCAATCTTTCCAGGAGTGGACGTCCCAGCAAAGGTCAGACTGCAATGCTCAGAGAAATCACAAAAAATCCAAGAGTGATATCTCAGACTCTATAGGCCTCAGTTAGCATGTTAAATGTTAAAGTTCATGACAGTACAATTAGAAAAAGACTGAACAAGTATGGTTTGCCAGGAGAAAGCCTCTTCTCTCTAAAAAGAACATGGCAGCATGGCTTAGGTTTGCAAAGTTGCACCTGAACAAATCACAAGACTTCTGGACCACTGTCCTTTGGACAGACAAGAACAAAGTGGAGATGTCTGGCCATAATCCACAGTGCCACGTTTGGCAAAAACCAAACACAGCATATCAGCACAAACATCCCATACCAACTGTCAAGCACGGTGGTGGAGGGG